CCGTCGTGCCAGGCCGGGCCCGTGCCCTGGACGCGCTCCCAGGCTCTGCTGGGACTCAGCCGCGGCTGCCGGCGCCCTGGGCCCGGCGGGGAAGGCGGGCAGCACCGGGCCCTCGGCGGCTCGGCGCGGGGAGGTCCTCAGGGCGGCCCTGCCCGGAGAGGGCGCGGCGGGGCGCACCCCCAGAAGCCAGAGCTAACTTATTGCAAAGGTACCTGGCTGCCACTCCGCCTACTGGTTTTTGCTAGAAGTTTCCTTGAAAGGCTGGGAGGAGCCACATGACAGCTGTGGTGGAGTAAGAGGACAGGACCCTTCTTGTGTATGTCGCACAGGTGGGACTTGGAAGGAGTAAGTGCAGAGGAACCCCCAGTGCCCCCCGAGCCCCGCTCTCGGGCGCACCTCCTCCCATCAGGACCCCGAGGTGTGAGCCAGTCCCAGCGCCCCTTAGTTCCCCCTGTCCAGCCTGCGAGGGCAGCAGCCTCAGGAAGCGCCGCCGCTGTGCTGCCTCCGAGCCTCTGAGCCTCCGTTCACCTGCGCTCCCGCTCCTGCCCCCCTCCCCCCCTGCACTCACAGGACTAGGAACCAGACAGACAGAGACCCCCAAACAGCCCTTCCTGGGGAGTTACAGCCACAAACAAGCTCTCCCTGTCAGCCATGGCATTTGAAGGTCTGCCGAGGCCGAAAGTTCACCTAGCGTGGGGGGACAGCCCCCGAACCCGAGCTGTCGGTAATTGCTTCCAAAGAAACCCCGCGCGCACCTGCCGGTCAGCTCGAGGCGGCCGGGCCGGCTGTCGGAGCGGAGACAGGATGGGGCTCGGCGAGGCGGCGCCCGGTCGGGTTGGCGTGATCAGGGTACCGAGCTGGCTGGAGGCGCTAGGGCTGGCGCGGAGCGTGAGGTCAATTAAAAATGTTTAATATATGATAGAGATTTGCGGGGAAACCCCCCCCAAGTGTCTCTCCCTGATAATAACGTTATTTTTGGCCGGGGGGGGGGATTTTAACAGTCGGCTACAGTCGCAATACAAGCAGCGTGTCCCCGCGAGGCTACGTCCCCAGCAGTACTCCCCAGCAGTCCAATTACAACACAGTGAGCACTAGCATGAATGGATATGGAAGTGGCGCCATGGCCAATCTAGGGGTCCCTGGCTCGCCTGGATTTCTTAATGGCTCCTCCGCTAACTCTCCCTACGGCAGTAAGTGTCTGTTTTTGTCACACGTCATCACACAGATTCATGTTCACTACAAAGTCAAATGTGTGCATTGCTTGGCTGTTCTGTGATGTGAGCTGCTGGATACAAGGGAGGGTGGCTCTGGAGGCTGGGTGTCCGTGTGGCGACGGTAAATTGACCCCGCGACGGGCCCCGCGAGGCCACGTTGGAAACCCCGACAAAATGGGGCTGCCCGATTGGAGACCAAAGTCCAACCCGAGAGTTTGCCTGTTAACCCAGAGAGTGGCCGAGCCAGAACCGTGGCGTGCTTGTCTGGGGGACCCCGATGCTCCCGGCGAGGCCCCACGAGCGCTCTCTCTGTGTCGTGTTGCCGTGCCCGGCGCCGCGCGTCCTGACCATGTTTGCTTTGTTGCAGTAGTGCCGTCCAGCCCCACCATGGCAGCCTCTTCGGTCACCCTCCCTTCAAACTGTAGCGGCACACACAGCATTTTCTCATTCTCACCTGCCAATGTCATCTCTGCAGTGAAACAAAAGAGCGCCTTCGCGCCCGTGGTCCGGCCCCAAGCTTCTCCTCCTCCCTCCTGCACCAGCGCCAACGGGAACGGACTCCAAGGTGAGGGGCGACGCACTGGCCCCGCTGCTCCTGGAGCGCGGGCCGAACTGTCCCCCCAGGGCCCTCCCAATCACCCCGAGCCAGGGCAGCCCGGGCTGGGAGCCCCAGCCCTCCCTCGGGGTCCCCGCCCCCTGCCGCCGCATGGCCGCTGCATGCTCCCCTTCGGTGGGCTGCCACGCGCTGTCCCTCCTGGCGGTCCCGCCAGGGCCACCCATCCGCGCCCCCCCGCGGGTAACAGACTCTCGGTTGATGAAAACCACCGCCTCCTGCTGCCAACCTCACCCACGCGTCCTCTTGGCAAAGGGGCCCCTCCCCTGAGGAGGGGCAGCCGCTTTGGGAATCATGTGGAGCGTAGTGGGGTGGGGGCCCCCCATTCCAGCCGTTCGGCAAACAGGCCTTCACGGCCGCCGCTGGCCCAGTGGGAAGCAGGGTGCACCCCGCCTGCAGCCCCGGGCCGGGGATGGCAGGTCCTCGTGCCACCTGCGGAGCCCGGCTCAGAGCCCGTGTGCCCTCCGTGTCCTGAGATGCAGCCGGCCTTCCCGAGCTGGGGTAGCAGACCCCGGGCTGCCAGGCCGCGCTGCCTTGGAAGTGGGTGCACCTAGCCCAGGGCCGTGCATGCGTGAAGGCTGGGCGGGAGCCCGTCTCTAAGTGCTTGCTCACACGTGTGCTCAGGAGGGAGAAGGGCTGGTCCCGAGGGCAGGGGGAGGCACCCCTTGGACGCGGCTGCCTCAGATGGGGCCGGGTCCCCTGGGCAGTGTAGGCCGCAGAGTGGCCTGTGAGGCGCGCGGCGGGTGGGCCACGCGAGTGCCCCTAGGCCTCGTGATCTTACGCGTGGCTCTTTGTGACTCACGGGGGCCACAGGCACTGAATTAAGTGGCCGTCATCTGGCCTCTTTCAGACACCACCTTTGGTATATGCTCCTCCCGGTGAAAATCAAATCCAGTTACTCCTTTAAAAAAATGAATCCATTCAACCAGTATTTACTGAGCGCCTACTATGTGCCAGGCTCTCTGCTGGGTGCTGAGGACGTTACCGTGGAGAAGACAAACTGGCCCTTTTGTGAAGTCGGTGGCATATTTCACTTTGATGAACTAATGCTCAAAAAAGGAACTGGAAAGGTATCCGTGATTTGAAATAATTGTCTTCCCAACATCTTAGCGTATGAGAGGGACGCCCAGGCCCCGCGTGCCGCCGACCGGCCTGCGGGCCAGCAGCGGCCCCCAGCCCAGAGCTGCTCGCAAGGCAGGTGGCCAGGTGCCACGGCCCGTCCACCGTCCACACGGTGCGGAGGCCCCGGGAGGACGGCACCACCTAAGCAGTGTGTACACACACGGGGCTGCCAAACCATAATGTTGTAACGGTGAGTCGGAGAGGAATTAATACTGTTGAGATTAATGAACTGGGAAATTGAAGCTCACATCACCACGTGAACAAATGTATTAATATGTTATACATAAATTAATGAGAATGATCATTCTGACAAAAATTAAACAACACTAAAGTTACAAGATTTTAAATTATATCCGTACCAGGAGTTCGCTGGAAAGCGTCAGCCGCGCTTGGCATTTTAGCACCAAGTTTCTTATTGGGGAGAGGAGCGAAAAGAGCTCCCCGTAAGGTGGGGCCTGGCTCGGGTCTCTTCGGGGCCCCCGGCCGTCAGGTGGCAGGGCAGGTGGGCTGCGAGCGGCTTTGCTCGCGGAGAGCCCGCGACTCACCTTTACGATACGGAACGGCCGGCAGGAGGTCAGAGGCGAGGGTGAGAGCAGAGGGGAGACTGAGGCGCATCCAGTGTTCCCGGAGGGAGCGAGTGCGGGTCCCGCCGGGCCTGCGCCCCAGACGCCACCAGGTTGGTTCCCATCTGTCCACCGAGGTGGCCTCCGCCCGCTAGAGACGAGCCCCTGAGCCCCGGGGAAGCGGCAGCCTTTCCCTCCCCGAGGAGGGCTGCGGCCGGGAGGCCGTGGGGGGGGCCCCGGCCCCCGGAGGTAGCCGAGCCCGGGCTGGTGGGCGGCCCACGTCCCGCGCTGAGCGGAGGCCGCGGGGCCCGCGACGGGGCGGCCCAGTAACCCGCGGCCCTCTCTCTTTCAGCTATGTCTGGGCTGGTAGTCCCGCCGATGTGAGGGGCGGCCGCCTCCCGCAGCGCCCGCCCGCGCCCAAGGACGGACTTCAGGGGACGCGTTTAGTGTCTAGGACCTGCTGCTGGAGACGTGTCTGCGGAGGCTTCAGCAGCAGCGGAAACGCGACGAGAGACTTTGTTTAAAGATTTTATTTAAACTATTAAGAATCAACATGCAAACAGCCTACTTCTTCACGAACGATTCCATTTTATTGACTGAACTTTTCTCATATTTCCACATTTCTCGGTCCTGAAGACTAAGGAAAACAAAGCGACGCCTATTTTGTATAAAGTTTCTGACTCCGTCTTGGCTCTGTCTAGTACTTGCTATGTGTTGGGAGAAACTTTGTGAATGCACCATTTTGATTATCATGAAACACTGATGAAAAATGCCTCCGGACATTTTTCTGTGCTCATAACTTAGATTCACAATGGTTGTGTATCTCTATAATGTGAAATATTTTTTTGTGGTGAAAAAAAAAAAAGGGGGCCAAGGAGGTGTGAGCCATCGAACTGGAAGAGAGGAGGACTACGTGACGAGGAGATTTCGGGGTGGCAGGGGCGGGGGGCGGGTTTATCATGGCTTAACTTCATCTTAATGAAATGAAACTTTGTAACTTATTGTAGTTAGAAATTGTAACTTTGATATTGAATTCTCTTGCCTTCAACAAGCACACTGACAGAAAAAAAAAAATGCTACTGTCTGTTGGTTTAACTATTCTCCCACTGCTAGAGCTTCCTGTTAAGCAAGTGTGATCTGCAACATTTTTTCAACTTTTGCTAGCACTGTATACTATTGCATTCTTAGGCTACTGTGAGGTCCATGTTTCTTGTACCAGAACTTGTCCTTTTGACTTCTAGCTCCTTCTTCCCTAATGTGTTTTGTATGTGGTTATAAAATTGTAGACTTTTGTGATTTTGCCAAAGTTGTAGCTAAATATTTATACACTTGTCTTGAATTTTTTTCAGATCCACTTAAATATTTAGAAAAAAAAAAAACAAAAAAACAAAACCCCCACCACCACGTTTTCTTCCTTATGTGTCTCATAAGGAATAAAATGGTCTCCATTCAACACTTTTCCATGAACACTTACAGTTGCTAAGGGACTTTCTTTTGTAACATATCGATTATAAATATTGTATTTATCTTTGAGACTTTGTACATTGGTTTTCCTGCCATTTTCTTTTTTCTCTCGTCTGTATTGGTTTTTGATCGTGGCCTGGTGTTGGGAAGAGCATTAAGCCAAGAGCTGTCTCTTTGATCTGTTTCTGTTAAAGTGAACTGGTGTCCTTGCATTTCATTTGTGCTTCAGATTTGCTTTTGTGGAGACTTCCCGTCCTTTTTTTTTTTCTTTTTTTTTTTTATTTTGAGGAAAAGTCAAATTCATTGTTTATTTTTATATTATTTTTAAGTTATCTGAACAAATACTTTTGAAAAAAAAAAAGTTCGTTGTATAGTCAAAACAAAACGGTGCCACTCGGCTGTGACAAATCCTAGTAGATTCCGTGCATGTGGAACAGCCGCAAAGAGGTGACACCGTTTGGGGCTGTGTCCTTATTTTATTTTTCTGTAGAATGTAAAAAAAAAAAAAAAAAAATCATTTTAGCTGCCACCCATGACTTTGCCACATAGCTGAACTGTGTTTACTGGAAAAATTCAGAGGCCTAAAGCTTAAAATAAAATTTACTTCTGATGTTTTAATTAAAATGTTTGCCACATTAACTTCTCTGATGCCTTAAAAGTGGACTTCTTTAAAGAACCTTTGTGCTATTTTATCACAGGCTTACAACACAATCGTTAATCGATATTTCATTTGGAGATTTATGGTGTAAACACACACACACACACACACACACACACACACACAAACAAAAGCACAAACCTGACGTTCCATGTGTCGCTCCATTCTGCGTCTGATTCTGCTGCGTTCCGTGTCTCCCCGGGGCCCACCTAGGATCCAGAGAGGTTTCGGGGGAACCAAAAATCACCGCTGGTTTTTAACTTTTTTTGAAACGACACCTTTTTTGAGGTCGGACCCCCGCAGCGCTGTCTGTACTTTTTAAAACCGGAATGACCTCCTTCAGATACTGTGCCTGTTCGTGCCAAACCCACAGTGAGACCAGGAGGGTCAGTCTTTTCCCTTTGTGTTAAACGCCTCACAGACACAGCACAGCAGACGTTGCGCGAATTGCAGCAGAAATCAGATGTAAAACAAAAGGGAGGGACATTAAAAAACAACTTTCTTGACAAAAGAACAAAACCATGCACAACTTAGGAAAGTGTTCATTCGAGGGACTAAATAAAACAGCAGAATGTCCCGGTGGTCAGCGGGTCGCGGTCCGGCCCCATGACCGCTAAGGCTTAGCTACGTGGGAAAGCCTGAGAAGTCACTTTGGAACTAAATTGCCTCCGTTTTATTTTGTATAAGTAAGGGTTTGATCTAAAAAAACAAGCTCACGTGTACATGTTAAGAACGTTTGCAAGTTTCCTCATCCCTGCACTCGGTTTGTGTTTTAGATTAGTCAATGCCCCTCATCGCTTCATTGTCTCAAAATTGAGCGCTTCACTAAATGGTAGATTTTACTGTTAAAGACCCTACAATAAGATTGTTTTATCTGTACATTTTTTCAGATATTTAACTGTATAAAAATGTTCATTTTACACAATATTTAATTAAAGTATTTCTTGTCTGTGAATTTCACTTTGGGTAATTTTATCTGTTTTGATTCGAATGCAAGGCAAAACGCATGCACACGTTAGACTGGGCTGGGTGGGGGTGGAGAGTGGGGGGTGGGGGTGGTTCCCTTTCAGACCCTGGGCCCCCGGGGCTGCATCTTGGGGCAAGATAAAGGTCATTCATGGAAGAAACTTTTACAAAGTTCTCGGTCCTCAGACCGCCCTGTAACCTGCATAGAGAAATTCTTACCGTTCCTGAGATGGCTCTGTCCCCAGAGGGGCCATCTGTACGTATGTTGCACTCCATGTCTGTCGGGGACTGTGGAACGGAGGCCACAGTAGCACCCTGCAGCTAACCAACCACAAGATCCCCCACCCCCGCCCCCGCCCCTGGCCCTCCTGCCTCTGCTTCCAAACTGGAGGGCTTGGCAGGGAGGGAGCAAGGGCTCAGGCTACGCCAGACGGGCACGCTGAGCCAAGAACCAGCTTCAGGCTCAGACAGGTGGGCAGAGGCCAGGGGCCCAGACGGTAGAGCAGCCGAGGTCTGACGGGGATGCCATCACCCGGCCCAGGTGCAGGGCGGCACCTCCTGTGGGTGGCACGGGGCTGTGGGCAGAGGCGCCAGGCTAAGGAGAGCTTCCGATTCACACAAGGGCGCTGGGCTCCTGCGAGTTCTTGGCCCTCCCCTTCCAGCTCATTCTGGATTTTTCACTTTCTCCTCAATGAGAGGCTGGTTTTGCATGTTTTGGCTTGCAGCTCTGTAACACATACACATAAGTGTGATCCAAATTAGTACTCACAAATGTCATCTTAATTACTTGTTCTGCTGAGCAAAACAGGAAACAATTATTCAAAACATAAAGAAACTTGTGAATACCTTTTTCTTCTGTCAATGACAATCGGGTTCCTTTGGCTGCATTTTTGTTTCGGCCTTAAAGAGATAGCAGAGAAGAAGAGGCTGGGGTGGGGGTAACCAGGCTGCGGAGGCCCACCCGTCCAGCCGTCCCCCTGGGGCTCCTTCCCGAGGTGCTGGGGGTGGGGCTGGGGCCTCCAGTCCCCTCCCTCCCTACCCGGAGCTGGTGCCAGAAGCACCAGCCTGGGCGGCTGGGGGGTGGGGCGCTGGGGGGGGGCTGCCTCCCCAGAGCTGGCTCCCTGGGCCCTACAACCTGGGGAGAAATTGTTTCATGTTTGTGTTTCGAATCAGGAGCGAGAACCGCATTCTCTCCAAATGTATGCCAATTATTGTCAGGCCGCCTTTTAAGGTCTTTCAAGCTTTTAAAGATTATTCAAAGCACTTGAAATGGGCTTCCATCTAATGCCTCATTTCATTGCATTAAACAGCCTAGTTAATAAAGAATCAATATATTCAAAGGGCAAGGTTATCTTTTGTCTATAAGGGGTGGTGTCATTCTGAACCTTTTATAGTTCAAATGCTGAAAAAGACCTCATGAAATCCATAGTCATCAAGTAGGTCAGTGAGAGCAACAGAAGGAAGGGGAGGGAGCTGAAAGGGAAGAAAGGCTGCTCTCCTTTAGAACAACTCGGCCTTATCTCCTGGCTCCGAGCGCCGAACGGGTCCTCCGAAAATGTCAATTTCTCATCAAGACAAGAGGCCACGATGATCATTTTTTCCGGAGAATACATACAATTAAGAGAATGCAGAGGGGCAGCCGCGGCAGCGATTCGGAGCTGCCTGTCCCACGAGCTCCGCGCTCCCTCCCAGCAGATAATAAGAGAGGTTGATAACTCAAGTGTCAATATGCCAAAGAGCGAGTTTTGAATGTGAGTCCTTGTGCTCTGAGCGCGCCCGGCCGATCCCAGGCCCTGATAACGGCGCAGCTGCCAACGGACACCACAGGTTGGCCCTCACAATTAATGCGATGAATAAATCACACAAAAGAGTCGGGAGGCTTTATACTCAGTGAGACAATCCCCTGTTTTACCCTTCAAGGATTCCTTTTATGTTGGAATAAGGTTGCTTTTAATGAAATTTAAACTCATCAGAGGAAATCAAAAACCTCCAATCAGATTACAAATTGATTTTTTGGTCATTTGTCATTTCCCAGTTTCACAGAGAGCAAGTTGCCAGTCCGGGGCCGGGAAGCCGGGGAGCCCCGTTCCCAGCGCCTGGCCCGGGACGCGCGGGGGCAGCAACTGCCGCCTGTGCGGACTCGGACGCCCTCCCGAGCCATCCTCGCCCCCGGGCCCCAGGCCCCCATCGCCCTTGGTGGAGCTCCATGACCGCTGGGTGCGCACCCATGATCCACTCGTGGCCAACAGGGGCACGTCCTCTCGGAGCCGCAGTGTGACGTGGGAGCCAGGGGACCAGCCGGCCCTCCTGCGCCGAGCGCATGTCACCCAGGGCCCCGAGGAGACCCGGCCACCTCCCCCTGACTGTCCCGCGTGAGCCCAAGCGCTCCCTGCCCGGCACGGTCGGCCCTTGTCCGGGCCAGCGATGGGCCTCCCTGTGCTGCCACCGAACCTGGGCAACCCCAGGCCACCAGCTGCTGGGCGGACTGGAGCTGCCCCAGGACGAGGCGCACCAGCCTTCCTCGACGTCCCTTCCGGAGCGGGGACGCCCAGCCAAGGCCACAAGGCCCGGCCGGTGCAGGGCCGGGGCAGGCGCTGCTTCAGGAGGGGAGGAAACACCACTCCCGATTCTAGAATGCTTGGAGACCGCCTTTAGAAATGCAGTCTCTGAAGTGAGGTGAAGAGTCCACATGTTTCTGAAGAGCAAGTAAGCACCACACCCCACACACACTTGCGAAACCCGGGGCTTTGCAGGTTATTTCAGCAGCCCCAGGGACCCTGTGCCGGAGCCCGTGCCCCCCTCGGGAGGGACAACGGCTGTTCAGAGAGGTGACATGACCAGCCCAAGGTCACAAGGCCGGAGGGACCAGGGCCAGAGGCGAAACCAAGTCTCCGACCTCCCAATCCTGCTCTTTCCACTGACTTCGGTTTCAGCTGTCTTGGGTGGGGGCAGAGGGTGCAGAGAGACAGAGACACAGAGACAGAAGAGACAGAGAGATGGAGCATCTGGATGGAAGGAGAACCACCACACCTCCCTGGAAGCTTCCAACCAAGCTTGGGGGACACGTGCTGCCCCCAGGGCTTGACGCAGCCAGGCCTCGTCCTCTGAAGCTCAGCGGGTCTTGTTTCTGGACACAGCCAAGGTCACAGGACCACGATTCTTTTTTTTTTTTTAATTTATTTATTTATTTTTTCTTTATTTATGATAGTCACAGAGAGAGAGAGAGAGAGAGGCAGAGGGAGAAGCAGGCTCCATGCAGGGAGCCTGACGTGGGATTCGATCCCGGGACTCCAGGATCGCGCCCTGGGCCAAAGGCAGGCGCCAAACCGCTGCGCCACCCAGGGATCCCAGGACCACGATTCTAAAGCCAAAGGCAGAAGTTCCTCTCCCCGGGGCCCTGGCAACAAACTAGGCGCCTCCGAGGAGCTGTCTCCCCGGTGCTTCTCACCAGCACCCTCGGGCCACCACACGGTCAGCATGTGGCCGGGGAGCCCACACGGGGCTGCGGAGAGCCTGCCTGCCGCCCGCGTCCACGGGGTACCCCGGGCCGCACCCGGCATCTGCAGTGCGAGCTGTGTGTAGGGGTCCTTCACGCGGCGCAGGGACAGGAGGGGGACAGGAAGGGAGGCAGTGCCAGCGGGACTGGGCTGCAAGGCCTGCGGTGTCGGCCAAGTCCCCAGCCCCAGCAGGGCTCAGCCAAAGCTTCTGTCGTGGCTGGCAGGGGGGGGCAGGATGAGGGGGAGCGGGGAAAGCTCACTAGTGGTTCGGCCAGCAGGACCAGAGTGAGCGACAGCAAAGTCAGAGGGGGTGGCCAGGACAGAAGTGAAGTGTCAGGGGGGCACACGGGCACCCCACTAGGCTGCCCCGGACGGCTCCCACCGCCGTGCTGATGGCAGGCTGGGGACAGCTCACTCACCCGACGGGGGTTGGGGGGACTCCTAGCCGAGACGAAGCCTGAAACTTGTGTTTCCCGCCACAAAAGACCAAGCCCGGAACCACCACTGCAGCCCAAGGAACCCAGGCTGGTCTGGGCCCGGGGTGAGGCCACCAGGAGACAGAGAGAAACTTGCGACAATTACAACAAAAGGGTTTATATCTCAATATACAATGAGCTTTTGCAAATCAATAAGACCAGATACCCTGAAGAAAAACAGGCAAATTCACAGTCCATTCACAAGGGAACAATACAAGTGATTGATAAGCTTTGGAAAATGTATTCAACCTTACTTAAAAATGCACATCAAAATAATGAGATGAAATTTTTTTCATCTATTAAATTAGAAAAGATTTTACTTAAAAGCTAATACTCAATCCTGTTGATGGAGAAATGGGCATTCTTAGAGTTGTCGATAGAAGAGTAAATTGGTACAGCCTTCTGGAAATCAATTTGACGTTATATCAAGAGACTTAACAATGTTCATATCCTTTGACCTGCTAATTCCACTTCTAGGAATCAATCTTAAGGAAATAATCAGAGATTAGGCAAGATTCAAGTACAAGATTGTTCGCTGCAGTAATATGTATTTAAAAAACTGGAAAGAACCCAAATACCTGAGAATAGCAAGAGTCTTAATTTATTATGGTATGGCCATATAATAGAATATTATATATTCTACAAAGCCGTTAAGATCACAATTTTAAAGTATATTTAAGGAAATGGTAAATACTAAGATATCAAATTAAGGCGAAGCAGGCATGTGATACTGCGCATAAAACATAATTCAAAATTGTGAGTTTCTATGTCAAGAGAAGGCAAGAAAAAGAAATATATATTAATGTGACAGAATAGTAAATATTTGGAAAAAATAATAGAATTATAGCGGGATCAATGTTTGGTGTGTTTGGGAGGTAGAAGCTTCTAGAGGACGCCCAGGGGTACCGGGGGCACTGGTGATGCAAGACCACGTGGAATGGCAGCTGAGGCATGGGGGCCGTGGGAGACCAAGAGGCTGGTGGAGCTTAGAGAGGGAGGCTGAGGTGCAGAGCCCAGGGGTGCAGAGCCCAAGGGCCTCAGGGCCCGGGGGGGGGGCAGGGCCCAAGGGAGAGCAGCTGAATGCCCTGCTCCCAGCTTCTCCAGCATCCCTCGAGGCCTCATACTGACTTCATCCTTACTTGTAGGGCTTCTGCTGCTAGCAACCAAACAGTTGGTGACCACACGAGGGAGAAAATTAGACGATACATTAACTTGCTACAAGTTAAATAAAACCTTGAAAGAAAAAAAAATAATAAAGAATAAAATTACTGTCATAAGAAAATCCAAAAGAACTTAAGAAGTATTAAATTCAGTAAGTGGGATTTAGCAAGACTGATGAATATAAGGTCAGCCTACAACCACATGTCTCTAATAGTAGGAATTTTTTCAAAAGCACACCACTTACAACGCCACAAATAATACCAACACCCAGGAAGAAAGCTGCCAATGTGATCGAAGATGACTGCCCGGGAAACCATATAATTGTTGAGAAATGCTGGGGATCTTAGGAAATGGAGGTATTAAACATATTCATGGGTTGAAAAATTGCATCTTGCAAAGATGCCAGTTCTCCCCAAAAAAGACCTCGGGACCCAGTCTCAGCGTTGGTCTGGCTCCAGTAGCTCCTTTCCTGAGGCTGATAAGCTGCTCCTGGAATTTCCATGGAGCTGAGAGCGACCTCGAGGGGCTGCAGCAACGGGCAGAGTGGCCACCTGAGGTCTCACTCAGGCTGGGCGTCTGTACAAAAATCCCATACCCGGGGCCCTACACAGCAGACATTTCCGTCTCCCAGTTCTGGAGGCTGGGAAGTCCCAGCTCCGGGTGCTGGCAGGCCCGGTTGGTGGTGAGGGTGCTCTTCCTGGCTTGTGCGCCCGTGTGCTGGGAGGAGAAGGGCTTTCATCTCCTGCAAGGGCACGACTCCCACTGT